AAGGTGGCAGGGGCCCAGCCCTCTTTTTCATCTATCTGGATGTACCACCAACCACTTGAATTCTTCTCAATCACCTAGTAGGTTAAAAAAAATAAATTAATATATACAACCTTTATTTAAACTGAATGTTTCACTATATTCTTTATTCAATACATTCAGGAAGTGCCTGACCCACCTCAACTTTGACTCCAGCTTGGAAACTAATACCATCAGGATGGTGGTCTGGAAGTCTGCTATGGTGTAGAACTCTTCCTCAACCTGAGGAGGAATGGGCGGCTTGGGTAGGTTCGTACCACGTGTGTGGAATGTGAGAGAAACACAAAAGGTTACGTCGATGAAAAAGTTTTTGTTGAGAGCTATCTCCTAACAGAACAGAATCCACACTGTGTCCAATGGAGATTTGAGCGGGATCTCTTACAATGGTAAGATCTCTGCGTGGAGGTGGTCTGTGTCTTGATCCCACTTCTGTGGAGGGAAAAGAGTAATCAATCATTTTGCATTAATAAGTTTGTACATTTGCAAAGCAGTGCAGAAGCCATCTGGAAATGTCCCCTCAGACTTGGTGTTGAATACCGGCTGGGTATGCTGACTGTGACTGTGCAAAAAGGCTGCAGCATAAAGGAAATCACTACCTTCAAATGATAGAGGGTCTATCACTTTATGTAGATTTTTCATGGTGTGTTTACATAGCCTGGCATTCCTTTGTTTTTTTACATTATTCATATATATATTAAAAAACGCTTTGACAGCTCAAACCTAGATCTGATCATTTGACAGCTTTGATATATATGTGTGGCAGCAGTGAAATAGATAGATAGAATAGATAGTTTACTTTTGTTGTCAGAAAAAAATGAGAGTCTGTTTTCTTTGTGGCCGTTGTCTCTGTTCTCTCTGGCTGCATTGTTTTGCTGTTTGGAAACTCCGTCTAGGTCATTGGTACTGGCATGAGCAGCAGCACCTGCTGACTGCTTCTGGCTCTGGATGTCCGTCTTCTTCAGGTAGGAGGCTGGGGCCCAGCCCTCACGACCCTGATACCTGAGAGGAGGATGTACAATCGGTGGCTTCAGGTGAGAACACAAAAACTGACTGGGTACACTTACTGGCAGTCTGTTCAATGAGATCAATCAGTATTTTCTAACCTCATTATCCAAGATCTGTAGTCAGGCCGTGTTTTTAAATACATTAACTTGTCACAGTTTTATGTTTATGATGTTTACTTTTCCAAACGTAATGTCCTTGACTTTATTACCTGATCTTCCACCAGCCCTCCAAGTTCCTCTGAATCACCTCGACAATCATGCCTCTCTCCAGGTCAATCTCATCCTCATCCCTGGCCGAGTACGGGTAAATCACTGAGTACTTCTCTTCTGGTGTCAGAAAAAGGCAAAATTGTTAAATATAAGAGCATGAGGTCTGTTTTGAAGATTACTGTGTATAGGTAAACAAATAAATGCTGATGTAAGGTAAAAGCTTGGGAGACAAAGCACTGTGGCACATTTAGATTACAATGGCTGGAGTTAAAGCTGCAATCGGTAACCTTCCTGCAGCAAAGATGAGTGTGTAGTGTTGCATTTATGAAGTTGTTTAAGCTTGTTGGTATGCAGTGAAAATGTCTGCAACGTTTTAATGAAAAGGCTCAAAATGCTTGCTCCATCACGACAATCACAATGTGATTTAGGATGAGATAGAGAAGTACACCGGGTTTACATGAGCTAACTTATTAAATGAGGCAAGGCTTGAGCAGAATCTTGTGGAGTGAGAGATGTAAGATACACACATGTGCAACACATAAAACACACATACAGTACTTTCTACTAAGATGTCTGAAGATTCTCAGTCATCCAGGTCATAGTTCCAAGAAGTTAAAGTCAAGGGCAACTGGACTTGGTTGAAGATACTACAAGACGTTTCATCCCTCATCCAAAGGACTTCTTAGTTTAGAGTTTAGCTTAGTTTCTGGATGTCAGTCTTCTTCAGGTAGGAGGCTGGGGCCCAGCCCTCACGACCCTGATACCTGAGAGGAGGAGTGATGTACAATCGGTGGCTTCAGGTGAGAACACAAAAACCTGACTGGGTACACTTACTGGCAGTCTGTTCAATGAGATCATTCAGTATTTTCTAACCTCATTATCCAAGATCTGTAGTCAGGTTGTGTTTTTAAATGCATTAACTTGTCACAATTTTATGTTTATGATGTTTACTTTTCCAAACGTATGTCCTTGACTTTATTACCTGATCTTCCACCAGCCCTCAAAGTTCCTCTGAATGGTTAAATACCATATATGTTCTGGATAATTAGAATCTGTGGGACTGATGTTGGCCCTGAGCATGGTCTTGGGACTATTTAATTAAATCCTTCTCATTGCTGGAAGACTTCATTATGTATTTATTTGTTTCTGTTTTGTATTATATATGTATACACATCTGTGATAATGTCAGTGAATGTTAGATGTGGTAGGGAAACTATTTAACCTAACCTATTTAGCTTAGTTTCCCTACCAGTCAGTCAGAACTCAAGAAGTCCTTTGGATGAGGGACGAAATGTCTTCTAGTATCTTCAACCAAGTCCAGTTGTCCTTGACTTTAACCTTCTTTGGATACTTTCTACTAAGTATTATTATGTCTACCATTATTAAAGATATTCTATGTATTACTATGGATGTATCAACTGTTTAATGTTGGTTAATTATACGTTTGTCCTGATTTAGTTTTTTGATATCAGATAAAAATGCGCAATCCACTTTGCATGCAAGGGTTTAATTTACATGCTTGGATCGCTCATGCAACAAACATTTCATGCATACACGTGAACAAACATGCACACAGTTGTGTACGCATGTCTGCGCACACACACATTTAGAATAGGGGGGAAAAAGAAAGGCGTGCGCTCCACCTTGCCCAAAGCCTGTGCTGAATAGATCCCCTAATGTTCTGCGACGACCCATGTGCCTTGGCAGTGACCAGAATCTCCGAGGCACTGACATCCCAGCACAGTAAGTGGGGCAAAATAGGAAGTGAACATTACATAAGCCATCTGGAGGATGTTTTTATACTAAATGAAAGCATTTTCAGTATTGGTGGGCCAAGAACAAATCAAAGTTCTAGTTCTGGCAGAGCTGCTGCTGTTTTACCCATTTACTGACAAATAGTTCCTCTAGGACTGTGCGCTTTTTGTTTAAAATCATAGTATTCCATCCATTCTACATTGACTATTTCTTCCATTTAGAATTTTGCCTAATTTGTAACCTGTTTTTTACTAGGTTATAGACCATATATGTTCTGGATAATTAGAATCTGTGGGACTGATGTTGGCCCTGAGCATGGTCTTGGGACTATTTAATTAAATCCTTCTCATTGCTGGAACATTTATTATGTACTTGCTCAATTTCTGATTTATTTGTTTCTGTTTTGTATTATATATGTATACATATGTATACACATCTATGATAATGTCAGTGAATGTTAGATGTGAATCTCTCTCCAATTCCAGGGCTCTGAGGAGTGACATGCCCCTGAAAGTCCTGGGCAGTTAGCTCAATGTCCACTTCTAAACCACAAACTTTGCTTAGTAGGGTTCCTACTATGCGCTGTACAGTATCATTATATCACTCTTTATCATCTACATCTGGCTTTTTTATGGAATCTCACCCCGATTTATGTCACAGATGGCATTTTTTTACCATTAAGTTCATGTTTTTTTTAAAAACACTTTTTAATGTATTGTTTACATTGTTTGTATTAATGAGTACTCTAAAATCCAGTTATTTAAACATTTGAATTGTTGTTCTTAAGGGCAACACACACACACAGGCGGAATATAATGCACATCAAAACACCCACACCTCTTGCCAGGCAGTGACAGTGTCTTGGCGTCAACACACATCGACTCTCCGGATATGCACATCACTGAACTTTGGCTTCCTCTATTTATATAGAGCATCTGGTGTGTGCTTCAGGAGTGAAATGGTGCATGTCAAATGACGTGGCGCTACGCGTGGCGTGTGTTGCACTTTAGAAGGCAACAGAAAGACAACAACACAAGACAGTTAAATGCTAAATGGCTTCTTTGACCTAAACTTTTCCTTGGGGAATACTGAATCTAAACAATAGCACCCAAATGGAAAGCTTCATATACCTTCTTCTCCTGGAAAACTGAAGTCATCAGGGTCATCCTGTGCCTCAAGGCAGGTGGCAGGGACCCAGCCCTGGGCATCTTCTGAGCTCACAAACCACCATCCTAAATGAGCAGGATATAAACACACGGACATACAAGATATCTTGTTTCCATCCGAAGATAGTAAAAAAAAATGTAACCGTCTTTCCAGACCAAAGCAAAAAGAAAATGAGAATTAATGCAATTTAAATCCACAACTGTTCTGTGAATACTAGCAGTTTGATGCATTGAGATAAACAGTTGGTGGCGTTAATTCTCCAGTCTGCTGCCATTAAACCATGCAAACGAAGAGGACGCAACAAGATGAGGTCATTAAAAATCCGGCATTCAAACATCAAACAATGGAAAACGGTGTGGAAAACATGATGGAAGTTCAGCAGCGTTTGTCCTCATTGGTCCACACAGATTGGATGTTTGGCTACTTGTTTTTCGATTTAAACCAGCAACCTTTGCAAAATCTAAACTTATCTAGGATATAGTGAAAGAGTACATTGAACGCAGAATAGAACTCACCTGACTCATTTTTCTCAATGACCTCCACCACCTGACCAACATGCAGGCTGATTTCGGAGCTCTCCTGCTTCTCATAATCTGTTACTGCCACATACTGGTCGAGGAGGAGAGGGTCCGCTGAGGTGGAATCTCCTGTTAAGGGGAACAAATCAAAACGGAGGCCTTTTAGCTCTTTCCCCCCACCTCTTTCTGCTCCTTTTGTTTGCTAAGGATGAAATCTCAATAATGTAAAAAAGCCTCCACTCATTGCTTTTTGCTTTTCAGTGAGGATCTTTGGTAATATTTGTTAATGTGATATTAAAGGAATGTCCATTAACTTGGAATCATACGAGATGTTGACCTTTAAAAGTTCTTGTATCTCACTGACTGAAGAGATATGACCTTTTAAAATGGCAGATTTTACACGCACTTTAAAGAACTTTACTGAAAAGCTAAAGTAAGCATGGTCTTTACAAAGCAGCCAAAATGGATCTGAAAAGCCATAATAAGTGAACAACTCACTTTTGATGAAAGCCCATTATAATTCCAAGGTCAAAAGTGTGCAAAAGCTTTTGAGTAAAACGTTAAAAGGGAGAGGAGGCTTATCTAGAGTATGGAGATTCACCCAGACATGAAGCAGAGGAGGAAGTGGTCGTGATTGGAGAGTGGTCGTGATTGGAGAGTGGGCGTGGGGGCGGGGGAATGAACAACGGCAGGGGAATAATAGTAGATTTGGAGAATGGGAGTGAAAGGTAATGGTAAAAAGTGAAGAGGGTTAAGTCAATCATCAACATGGCTGTGACTTCCACACAGAAACAAACCAGCACCACTAAGACCCATCACCAATGTTAGCACCAAGCCAGCCTGAGATACATGGACTTTTAACACACGAGGGCTCAACATACAACCAGTAGCACAAACCAGTATAATTACTCTTTTCCTGATTTATGATCTTTAAAAACTTGTCTAGAACAAACCCAAATGGAGAAAATTTACTTGACATATAAACTTTATTGGAAACAAAATACCTTTTGGCTGACACAGCTTGTTGCAATTTTAAAACCCTGTATGCCCTTGCATTACGTGCAGGAATCCTCCACAGCATGCAGATCACTGAAGGTTCTGATGGACACATTTTTAACCAATGTGTTTGTAACACACAGGCAAACAGAAATCATGTCTCTGCAGACAAAAGACTAATATAATGTGAAAATCTTAAAGTACAGATGTGGTAAAATTCACATTGCATAGTTCTTCAAACAGCTTAAAATATCACAGCTTGTCCTTCTGTACACATCCTTCAGTGAGCAGCAAACTGTTTAATCAAACTTTTTTTTTTATCAGAAATTTTAATATTAGTAATTTATTAGAGAGAGAGAGAACCGGAGAAACTAACATCAGGTTGAGTTGAATTTTAAAGAGAGAACACACAGCTAATACCAAACAGCCTTGCAGACTGTTAAGCAAGCTTACCAATCTGCTAGGCTAGTTTGAACTTGGAAGATCAGGTAGACTGACAAACTAACCCAAGTAACTCGGGTTAACTTTTAAATCATTAGTTTATAATATTAACTTCCCTAACCCTTTTCTCCAGGGTTTAGTTTTATGTTATTAAGCACACAAAAGGCTCCTTGGTTTCAACAATTTACATGTAACTCAACCAGTGACATTATTTCTGCCTCTAGGGCTCTGCATTGAAGAATTATTTGTGTAACCTCAATGATTTTGCCCGATGCTGAAAGCCTAGCAGATATACATATGGCTCTACTGCATCGATGGTATATGGTAACCCTCTCTCGCAGATGTACAGTTAAAACCCTGCCACTATCTAGAGTCTTTTCTACTCTGTCCTTATGCAACATACCTACACCTACAGAAATGAACCACGCAGGGTCTGAAGATTACCAGTTATATTGTATGCTTTCTTTACAGAACCAATGCAAGCCCCAAGCCTTTAACAGAGCCACATCCCACCTGCCCAGGCCAGGGGAGAGGGGGAACGGGCCACTAGCAAGCTGCTGGGTCACACACACAGCACGACCAAGTGTTTACTACCTCGCTTTAGGAAAGTAGTCGCTCTCTCCACAATCCCTGATGGAAAGGAAAATGAATGAAGAAGAAAACTGAAAAAAAAAATACATGGATGCAACATGGATGCAAGAGGATAGAGAGAAAATAAAAAGAATCAGTGAAACAATGGCAAAGGGGATTTCCTTGTTGCCGGTACTATAATAGTCAACTCCAGGAAAGAGTATAGACAGAATCTGTCTTTGTTAATGAAACAAGAACATTTGGACTGGTCGAATCAATGTTTTTTTTTACCTGTATAAAACTCTGTGACCACTAGATGGAGATAATGTCATTACATATTACAGATGAATTGTAGAGGACTTGGCATTCATAATGAAAAGAAGTCATAAAAAGTAAAGTAAAGGCTCATACTTACAGTATCATACATACATACAGTGTGCCTGGTTAAATTCATCTTCTGAACTTATTATAAGACTAAATAACACACAATAGCCAAGTCCACCTAATCCCATGTTCATTTCAAATACACAAATAAAGCGAGTCTTACCCGATTTCTTCTTTCCGATGGGCTCCCTGTTCAAGAGAAGAAATCATCACATTACTACCAGGAAATATCAGATCAGTTTACAGAGCTAAGGAGAAAGTCCTCACCTACAAATACCATCATCAGTCTAATGATACAAAACATCATGAAAAAAGATAAGACAGTGGCCCTAATCACAGAATCAGTCTGATTACTTTAAGTGATTTGATATCCTTTAATCTATACTTTGCAGGAATGACCCAAGATGTTTGGTTGCCATATTTATGCATTTACTGCATTACCTCAGTTACTACTGACATTTTCAGTTATTAACTTTGCGTGGCAAACTGGCACTAATGATGCTTTTTAAATAAACTTTCAATTGTTTAATTTGATTTTTTTATTTGCCGTGGTACCACAGCACAACACTTAGACTGATTATTCCAGCAAAGAATTAACAGTAATTGCTAACATTATCGTTATGTTAGATATATTAATATGCTAGAGATACACAAGAAAAGGATCCATCTCTTCCTCTCTCTCTCCCCGATGAGAATAAAGAGCCTCTAGATTGCTGATCTCTGAAATTCAGTCTGTTAAATTCAGTACATCATCTGCTGTGTCTGGTTTAGACATTAGCCAGATAAATAGACCATCACTCCACAACAGCAGTCAGGAGCTGATTCAATGTCCAGATGCTACAAAAAGTCAATGGTGGCTAATACTAAGCATTTTACTCTCTCACTTGCTCCCTCTCTCCCTCTTTGTTGTCTAAATATTACCCTCTTACTTTATGGCCTTCTATCACCTTCCTTTTTCCATCTCACATCTTCCAGGTCTACTTAACTCCCTCCTTCAGCTCCCTTGATCATTTTCCTTGGCAACTACTGCTAGTTCGTTTCCCTGCATCAACATGAATGCGCTTCGCCACACACAGCACTGTTTGATCGGCAGAACTGTTAATTGCAGAGGCTTAAGTCTCAATAAATCTTTACCCATAAGCGTGCCCATTAATGCACTATAAAAAGAAATCCCCAGCCAGGCCAACCAAAGCAGTATCAATGATCTGGATTGTTATAGAGCAGGAATGTGTGTACAGCAGTATGTGTATGCTTTGTTTGCTTGTTTTGAACTGAGGTTTAACCTGAATCATGTAATGCACCAGACACAGCCACTGACCTGGATCCTTCAGCTAATATGATTATTTTACTGTAACTAGTTTAGAGTAACAAATCAAATGAATCCTCTGACTTATTAGGGTTCATGTTAGTCTGAGACAGGTTAGGAAAAAACAGCATTGGCACTGGGGCCAACTTCAGTTTCAACTTTCACGGAAACATTCATATCAGTTTGTGTCTCATGGCAGTCACCAACATGATATATGGGAGATCAAATTCTAACTACAGAGGAATCATGAGAACACACTTTACAGGTTTGCCATTATCTATCAAACCTTATACTACAGGAGATTATATTCACTTGGGGCTCTGATTCTTGCAGACCCATTAAATAAAAGCTATCAAAGTTCTACACCTGGAGCCAAACCTTACAGGTAAACAGGTGTCGTACCACAGAGGACTTATACATTATTGATTTGAATGATTAATGAAATCTCTCCTCTCTTACTCCCTCTATCCCCCCACTTTGCCTCAACCTGTCGCTTCTTCCCTTTCAGTCGTGTTGGATACGAGCTCTTCTTCATTCTTTCCATCCGCTCTTATTCCATCTTGATCCACCATCTAAATCCACTTTCTTCCCCTGTAATCTCAGAAACATCCCCATTTTCCTCTCCCCATCTTTGATAGAACACTTCCTCTTTCAACAGACTCCTTCACTTCTCACCCATCTTTTCTGGTTCTCTGACCCTCTACTTCCTCTTTACATTTAAGTACTCCATTTCCTCTCCTCTTACTTTGCTGCTCCTAAGGAGAAAGTCTAAGATGTCCCTCTCAGTGGTAGATTTATAGGCCATGATAAATCTTCTCCCACAGTGGCTGCTGTGTCTGTACACCGGCCCTGTTGTCAGTCGGCCAAACAACAGGCTGTACTAGCAGAAAGCAGTAATCCAATTTCAATAAAGACAAACCAAGGTCTTTGCTATATTCATCCACCTCGAGTGAATGCTCCATCTCTCTCCTGCCTCTCCCAACACATGCTTGGGATTTTGTATGAGGAGTAAGAAGGTATGTGTCCTTGGCAACATCCTCTGGTGGAGGACAGAAGACCTAGTGTGTATATTGTGCATATTGATCGCACACACACGAGAGTTACAGAGGGTTACAGTTTTACTAGGGTGAACACTAGTAAAACTGTTGGGATGAGAGAAGCATCTCTGCTGAGTGACACATCCCCAACATTGTGATTATATTACCACGGGCCTAAGCAATACAGCAAACTCAGTAAACCACCTGTGTGTGTTAGTAATTACATTAAATAATGGTATTAGAGAAAAAGTTTCAAAATAAAAACGTGCAGATGCACGCCAACCCAGGTTGTCCAAACAGAGTAAAACAGAACATTTGAAAGACGCTATAGTCACAAACATTCATCACAAAGTGCCTTTTGGGAAAATGCATTAGGACCTCCAGTATTAAAAATTATTCCAAAAGTGGGGCAACATTTTGCAATTTCACTGGCTCAGCTGTTTTACTGAGTATAAATGTCAAGGTGACTGGTGGGACAGTTGGTATATAAAATAAAGACACTAGGCAGCTGCAAGACTGTGGCTGCCTGAACCAAGCCATGTCAGAGAAAAATATTTTGCTTAAAGGACATTAAAATCTACAAAAATCTTAAACTGTGTCCAAATTGATGCTACTGTATTATAGTAGTTCTAATCATGTAATTGAGCATGTAGTACTCAAGCAGAAAACAACAAATTAAGTAATAATACTGGTTATATTTTGCTAGTATTAGTACAAAATGATGTAGTACATTCATTTCATCCTGTAGTCACTGGAAAAAAGAAAACGTAATACTATATTATTACGTTTGTAGTAAGGGGTTGGGATACAGTGAAAGTCTCACTTCTGTGGCCCAGATTTTGCAACAAAAGTCTTTTGACCAATTTAAGAACCCACTCTCTTTACATGCTAGCTTACTGCTGGCCCTACATGCACTCCTGGCATATATCACAGGACTTATCAACTCAATTTCCTGCAGGCTGAGGTAACTTCTCAATGCCCAGTGCCACACACATCAGTATGTGATGACAGAGAGGTTAAAACTAATAACTCAGCTGACAGCTGTTGGTGTAAAAGCCATCTCTGGGGTCAAAATGTGAGCCCCACATTATGGTCTAGAAACCAGCCACCTGTAACCTCCTCTTCCCCGAAGGTGCTGGTAACCGTAATAACAACACTTTTGTAACCGGGTCCTGTGTGTAAAGTATGTGTCTGTGTCAACATGTGCTTCTGTGTTAGAAGCTGGCATTCATTGCCCGCTGAGGTCTTAGTTTTGGCACATAGTAACTGTCAGCACTGAATATGGTTCTAATGTGTTGACTGAGATTTTCAAGAGACGTCAGAGCGGATCTGCACACCTTGAGAGCAACTATGCAGTCTCAGCTGTCTGGAGCCTGGTGGCTGAACTGAGCTGCAGCTACATGCTTAAATGCTAAGTCAGCATTTAAAAAGGCACCCATTAAGTGTTTATGCTTGAGAAATCAAACAGGAAGTAGTGTAAGAGTATGAAATCCTATCCATTAGAGGGTATAAATGTCATCATCCACATCCGTCACAGGAACAATAGCGGGGGTTTGCTATTGTTTGAGAGAGTGTGTGAGAGCGTGAGACTTACTCCTTGGGTGGGTTGAGGTCTTCAGGTCTGGTCTCAAAAAACACTCTGACCTCCTCGCACTGGGAGATGTAGACCGGTAGTTGAATGAGGCTCTGCAGTCAAAAAATAGCAGAAAACTTAGGTAACCGCACAAACCTGCACACAATCACTGCAGTACATCCAATAATCAACCAGAGGGTAAATATAGTGCTCACTGAGTGCCTGGCCTCCATGAAGTCACAGAAACAGTTACTATAGAGGCCATTTTCAGACTGCCCTCATTATTTCTAGTTTCTCATATTTCTTGTTATTGTCCCCACTGGTGTTAATTTTTAATATGAAATTGAGGATTTCAGAATTAAAGTGCATCAATAATAATAACAATAATAAAATAAGTACAATTTGTAATTTTCCATTCGCTTTTTGCAGTGTTTTTCAATGGCACAAGCTGGTTCTGTTCTCTTCTTTTTTTCTAAGCTCAGTTCATTGATCCGTCTCGCGTACCTTCCTCCCTAATCTTATGCCTCTGTGGAGGATCACTAGCGGCAGAGAGACGAGACCTGACAACAGGGCTGGAGATGAAAGACAAACAGTCCCATCCAGCTTTCTCTTTATTGGTGTGATCTCCCTCTTGCACACACAGCAAGTCATGTTATCGCACAGTGTCTGTTTCTAGACTTTTTTTTTTGTTCTCTCCTGAGTCTGTTTTATCTTCTGCGACTCTCTCAACCAAACCACTAAAGGGCAGCAATGAAACAGATAATCACCTCAACAGCTTGATGCCCCAAACCAGGAGACAGAATAACTGTCACCAACAACCCCGTAGTGACTATCTTTCTTACAGCTAAGGGAGTAAGGCCACTCCTCCTTTTGCTGGCAGGCAAAGCTCAATGCTATCCATCAAGCTTCCTCTGATGGCCTCTACCTCTGATTGCAATACTCCTAAGTGTTTCACTTCCGTCCTTTAAAGGAGCAGAGTCTCTACCTCTTGCACTCTCTGACACACACCGATATAACGCCAGGGCTGACGGACATTGAATGGTAGCCAAAGACCAAAACAAAGTGGCCTTGTCTTATGCCACATTTGCCTTGCCATACTTAGGAGTCCATGCCAACAGCCTGTGTTGAAGGAAAGGAGTGGACATACTGTCATGGACAAAGTATAACATGTGTTTTCAATTAGCAGTAAAGTTATTCGGCGTGTGAATGTGCATTTGTGCCCACTTACATGTTTATTGATTTAGGGCGCATATAAATTTGCTTGAATATTATGCATAAACATGACCTCAAAATCTCCTTTTTACAGTGGCTTCATCCATATCTTGAAACAGCGATGTGAAGTAGCTCAGAAGGCTGCGCTATGCCTGAGGTCAGAGTGCATCCTGTACTGGCTATCCTCTCCTTGGATTTATTCCTCTCCTCACGTCAGCCTGTGGCCCGTCCACTCATTACAATTCCCCCCAGGGAGGAGACGGGAGGGAGGCTCAGGGTACATTACAGCAAATGGACTTTATGGGTGTTCTTTACAGCTGGCAGCATTAAGGTAATTGTGTGTGACTGAGTGTGTACATGTAAGTGTGTGTGTTTTCACCGAGGAAAAACAGGTAATGGAAATAAGAGATCTACTTGTGCAGTCCCATCAGGTATAGTAAAGTATGACTGCATCGGTGCAAAATAACCTTTCACATGTAGACACATACAACCAAGGGGGATCCTGAGTCTTGACAAACAACAACAACAAAGGAGGTTTAAGATGTTATAACTATATTGCAAGTGGATAAAAACAACGATTGCGGCTTTCTGAGATGCAACACTTGCTGAGATGTAACATCTCAGAAAGCCACAATCGTTTTTTTTATCCGACTATGTTTCCTGACATGACAAAGAACAGGACTCTACAACTGGGAAAATTCCATATGAGTCAGGTTAAAACCTCAGCTGTGCAACACAAGGGCTGACTCAGCTCTTCCCTGAGAGAAACATGAAGTTTCACCTCAACCTGACTGCATGTGGGGGTGGATGAAAATGCCTTTTTTTTGCTTAGAGTCAAGTTTTTGCTAGAGTCAAGATCTGACCCGCCATGATGCTATGAAAGGGCTAAATGACGTTTTAAATCACTGTGTGAAACAGACAATGTTGATGTGTGAGATAGCATTTGGCTCATTGGCTGACAAACTGTAACTTCTTACTGCTAAGTAAAAGCAGTGCGACAAGATTGAGTTAATTTCCACTCAACACAATGCTCTCACATACTCAGAGGTATTTTGTCCTCAAATATTACTTGAAGTTCTTCAAATTTTAAACACAGGTAATTAGGTGAACAGGATTCTTTCTCTGATCAATTTTCAACACTCACCTGTAAACAACTTTGACAAAATGTGGATTTCAATCAATCAACTCCACGACAGATAAATGCAAATTTCTTTTTTATAACTTTTCAGATATTTCCACAATAAAACCTTTGACCACAGCAACACCAGTGATGTGGTCCAGCTATTCCCATGAACATCCACACCCATACACACAAACCAACAACTCTAACCACTCCCCCCCAGACTTTTATTTGTCACATAAGTAGTTGAAGATGTTGCCTACACCAGCTGTACATTCCTTTAACCTAAGTAAGGCTGTACAGTCACCAGCCCCTCTGGTCCTCAACATTGTTTATCATCTTTTCTCTTCACTATGAGGCCTTGTGAACTGTTATTTTTATTCAGAAAGGAAACTCATTTCTACAGTGATGGTTTCATAAGGTTCCTAATGGAGGAGAGAAGTGATCCCATGATAAAATAATACAGTTGAAAATACAAAAAGGCATGAATAAGTAAAAAAAAAAAGTTGTTAAAACATCTTCAAATGTCTTCTTTCAGACAGACAGAAGGAGGTGTGTAAGGTTTAGAGGCCCTAAGGCAAGCCTGTAAAATTGAACAAAAAGAGGCCTATGTGGATGTGCTGACTGGAGCAAACTCAGCACCAGCAAGTGTTTTGCCTTTGGCACAACTCTCTGCTGATAGTTTACCATCACAACATGATATACCAACAACTCTTCTTTCCTGGAATTTCTGAATACCAGAGCACTGTTTCACCCCTAAATTACGTGACTTTGTGGCCAAGTATCCGTTTGGAAAAAAATAATGCCCCCTGGCTGCAAAACGACACGCTCCTTTTGTTACTTTGAATTTACTTCAAGAGCACACAACTTTGTACCGTTGCTAAAAAGCTGAACATCACACATAATATATTAAGTTAGGTAGCTGTGGTTACATTTCTGTCAAATTGCTGCAATTGGTTACTAGCTATTAGGAGTTTTATGGTTGCTGTTCTGCTACAGTGGAGCCTGAGAATGTACAGCGGCATTTCCATCCCTTCTTCTTTTCTTTAAAAAGCAATGTAATGGGCTGGATAATGCACAGGTTTTACGCCATCTCTGTTTTAAATGGTGGATAGAGCTGCAGTATTTCAATTGGTAAAAAAGACACTACCAACACAAAATAACACACTTCTATACTCCACAAAAGTGTCCATTCTGTATTTCTTCTGTCACTGACAGCAACTTAACAGCAGAAGCATATAAAGTACATATAAATGATCTTGTCCAGAGGGATCATGAGGATTTACTGTATATTTGGGAGGTACTACAATGACATACTCCCATTTAGCTACACAGAAACAGATTTTGCTTTTCCACTATTGATCCCTTGAGAGAAGTTCTGTTTTGTTTGTGTCCTTTAGCAAAGAGGTCATAGTCAGCTATTGAGCACCTGGGGAGCTTTAAGGACACCTCTGCAAGGTGGATGCCTGCTATCACAAAGGCTTGCTGCAGGGGTTTTAGCATGAGACACACCACAGCACTGGCAATTTAGAAAGACAGGGGCAATGGGCATTATTTATACAGCTGTTCTTGGAACAATGAAATCCTATAAATCTGGTTGTTGCAAATTAGCTTTAATGAATATAACCACTTGTCTCAATTTTTCTATTCCACCTGCGTCTGTTTCGCAGGTGGAATATTTGAAAGATGAAGGTAATGGCTTACAAATGTGTGACAGTGACTTGCTTATATATATATATATAAAAAACACAGTGGATGAGAAGATTATTTTATGATTAAGCTGATACTACATGGGTGGGATATTTGTTTTTCTTTCCCCCTGACCACTGGATTCTCTACCTTGATTTTAGTCCCTTTTTTTACTTTGTACTGTGTAGAAGATCTAAATGCTCACTGGTTAGTGTAGCTTTCATGACCTACAACATATATGACCATCACAGATTTCCGTAGTAACATATTAGTCAGTATACTCACCCGGCAGTACTCATTGATGGGCCTTAGCCTTTTCATTGCCACATCTCTGATATGGCTCCTCCTAAACAGGATCTTCCCTGTAACAAAGTAGGAAAAACAGGCTTACAAGTCAGAAAAGCCAAATTTAAAATCACTTTCATTCATGCATATAAACTGTAAACATTTGCATATACAGGAAATGTGCATGTCTATTAGGGTTGCGACGATAGACTATGCCATCATCCATCGGCGATGGCTGACAGATGGCCGATGGTTGTGCAGGCATCGTGATTGTAAAACCCCGCCCCCTGGCAAAAAAAATCTAAATTTTTCACATAAAACCACCACGTGAAAGCAGGTTTTAATCACCACGAACATTATTATAATACATTTTAAATACGCTTCGCACCTTCCTCAGAATTCTCTTCTCCCCACACTCAGACACACAAGAGGCCTACACCTCATATAAACACACCGGCTTGCCCGCCTCTCTCTGTCTCCCAACTCGCCTGTCTACTCCACTTTCTCCATCAACAGTACATTTTATAAAGTCGCCTAAAAGACACAGAACTCGTCTTGTTCCCGTATTTTTCCCACCCGCGATCCGTTATCACGGCAGCAGGTGAGCTGCATGTGGGCTTGTTAATGACGCAGCCGAAACCAACATCTGCACCCTGTGTGTTCAATGGTGCTTTAACTGGTCCATGCTTGTAAAATTCCCACCGCTACTTGTAAAATCATAGGCTACCAAGTTTTTAAGTCTTTGCGAGTGAACATATGCACATAAGACGCGCGCCCCCGTTGCCATCGTCCATCCCGATGTTTCAATTTATACATTGTCCGATGGAAATTTTGTAGACATTGCCCAATCCTAATGTCTATGCACCGAATTCAGTTTTTCAAGGAACACAGATAATCAGTGGTGATACCAATATTCCACAGCAAAATTATATAACAAGTTCTAATCAAAGAAACCGTGAATTGCCTTTTTCACTTAGATGATGCTTTTGTCAAGAGCAACATTAAAAAAATTAGGGGTCCACTGAAGGACAATAAGGACACAGTGGCAGCAACAAAATATGGTTGGTGAATTAGCATGCAGACACAATGCAGTCACGTAGTCAATAACACTGACAGCACAATGAGGTGGGTAAGGAGCTAGGTGAAAAGCTGGCCTTTGCAAGTCATGAATAAATGATTTTGGGAAAGCAAATTATGCCTGCATGACAGCTTAAATGCCACTTCCCGACTCTTATCTTTAGGCACAAATAACCACAGGCACAGACAAGTCAGGTCGCCATAACAATAACAAGAAATGGCTACAAATAGGCCTCTTAAAACACTCTAATTTAACGGTATGCAGGAAATTTCAGAGCCAGCACTTATTTCTTTTCTATTTTTTAAGCTGCTGATGTTTCTCCAATAAAGTTACTGAGACAGCTTTAATGCAAACATATAAACTGGGAAAGAAGACAAGGCTGTAACAAGATCCTGTTCACAAAAAAAAGGGACATGTTTGAGAAGTTACTGCATCACTTCCATCAAGGGGTATGGCATTTGTTTAGAGAATACTTAGAGCAGACTTGCTGAAACATGAATCTACTGCACAGGAGATCACCAACGTTAAACTTTTTTGCAGTGGGTTTGAAACCTACTGGCCCGAAGACAATTTTTACTGTCCCTCCTTCCAAAGGTTATTTATCAGTGTTAACGTTACAACAAAACCAAAAACTTATGTTATACTGCTAACTGCTAATGTTTAATCGTTTATTAAATACATCCTGGATATAAAAAAACTAAACAAAATGTTTAGTTAAAATGATAAAAAATAAAAAGGTTAAAACAATTTATTTTTAAAACAAAACATACTAACAGACTCAAACATGACGCTGACAGCCATTTAATAAAAATTGTACACGAGTCGCCTCTATCCTGATGAACAGGTCCTGTCCAAAGTATACGCTGCATTATCGCCTATTTTCCCCTAAATAGGACCATAATATACTAAATGAACATCATGCTTTGTTGAAGAAGGATTGAAACTAGCGACTGAGACCATAAACTCATTTAAAAGTGTTTACTGAGTATATAAATTAGCTGAGAAGTGGCTACATTTTACCATTATTTCTAATGGAACCAGACTTCTTTTTGCAACCAGTGGACTCACCCCTGCTGGCCGTTATTGAGAATGCAGGTGTAAGTTCCGTCTGCATGGTTTCACTTTCAACCCAGAGGTCGCCGCATGATTGAGATTAGAGAAACAACATTCGACAACCACTCGTCACGTAACTACAACTCTGGATTGGACATTGGTGTGCGCCAAGAGCTGCAAAACAACTGCAGGATGTTGAGTTTCATTTTTTTTTTTTTTTTTAATAATAGCCTATTAATGTTTTTGCACTGGTCCAATCGGGCCAGTGAGTTGCTAGTTCAACTGTCCCGACGTTGCGTTTTACTGGCCCCGGGCCATCGGGCCACCGTTATTGTCGAGCTCTGAACATACTGATGAAAAAATAGGTACAGGCACAAAGAGACTGATCATCACAGTGTCCGATTATGTATATTTATACCCATGTGTTACTGCTCGTCTTAGGAATCAAGACAAAAGAAAGTAAAGATACATGAAGGGAAAAACTAAACCAAGACAAAAGTATATATAAAAGAGCATAATGTGCATAATAAAGAGGAGAAGACTGCTGAGTGCATAGATGTGTGGTGACCTCATCAAAATACCTCAGACCTCACCCACTTTACACAATAACCACCACCACCAAACTTCCAAAAGACCCCACCGCTGCACTCTATCCAACCATCACATCTCTGACAGCAACCTATTAGTTGACTCAGGTACTTGACAACACAGGAAGTCATACTAAACTTATGCTGCTTAGTGTCTAAAGATAAGAGTAAAGTCTACTATAGGGCTGGATGATATGGCCAAAAATGTTATCACGATAAAAAGTTTCATATCTTTTGATATTGATAATTATCACGGTAAGTATCAAATCGTTAATTCTTTCGAGTATAAAGACTGACTTTTTGCCTCTGAGTTAGAGTTGAAGAAGCCTGATTGTGTTTCAAATTGTGGTTTAAACTTTTCTTTATGGTCAACACTTGATCCCAAACAGAGGATCATTTCACAAATCTGAGGTAGAACATTCAAAACAATTATGATAAAATCTTTGTAAAGCAAATATGCAAGAGTAAAATTAAGTAAAAGCTTTTTTCAGTCCTTCTTCCTCAACAAAATAAACATCTTAATAGAAAAATGAAGTCATAATTTGTCTATGATTCAAGTGAATAAACATAATATTTATTGAACATTTGTTATATTGTTATTGAAAAAAATTCTATCACAATTACTTATTGCTTTATTGTCCAGCCCGAGTCTACTATAATATCAAAAGAATCAGACTGTAAATGCTGTCAGTGAATAAACAAACATGTTTTGTTTTTTCATCTGAGCTAATATGAGCAGGAAGGTCAATTTGTGAGGAAAGTCAGATCTTTAAAATAACAGATGTTCTTTTATCTCCCGTTTTTGTGGCTTTTGTTTTGGTCTTTCTATTCTTATTAGACACGGCAGAGTAAATATCTTAAAAACTATTGGATGGATTTTGTACGGACATTCAAGGGCCCCAGAGGATGAATCTTACCAACTCAGGTGAACCCTGACTTTCCATCTCCATCTCATCTCCCATGAGGTTGACAATTTTAAATTTGAGTTCCCGTGAAATTTGCTGCAGATTTTCAAGGTCCCCATATGATGAATCGTGATAACATTGTTTATCGGTAAGGTCAAAGTTTCCAGAGTGAAATATCCCAACAACTACTAGATGGATTGGCACAAAATTTGGTACAGATATTTATTGGTCCCAGACAACATATCATAATGACTTGAGTGTTCCCCCTGGACCCAAGACAAAAAAAACGGGCTAACGGACATTAGCATCATGGTTGCGAAAATATAACCTTTAACATAAACTGCACATTTTGCTTCACATGCTTAACATCCTGAGTGACATACTGTGCAAATACTTGAAGTACAGATGTTTCCTGAGTTCTGTATGAAATAAAAAAAAGAGCTACTAAATTCACTGTCTTTATCTGCTTCTTCTGCACTCCACACAGACTAAATACAGCAACCCCAAAGGGTCAAAACTCAAACCCCAAATTCCCTGTAGCCAAAAAATACAGCTATCACTAGGTGGAGAAAGGGCAGTACAATGCTGTATCACTGAACACTTGTCAGTATAATGTGATATACATATAGGTGGTACACAGCAATTTGCATTTTCAGCAAAGAATTCAGTAAATTCAGTGAATTTGCATGTTTGTGCCTTTTTATAAAGAAATGTTTTTATAATAATTTTTCATAGTTGCTCTGTAGTTCTGTATTTTTAATTTAACGACTGAAAAATGAGAGAACTTTTTCACGGGCATTTTGTATGTATGTATTTTGTGTGTATTGTTTTTGCATAGTTAGACATATTTCGTGATGTATCATTTTAGCATTGTTCAGCGATCGGTTATCCCAGAACTGCTGTATTGTGATATTATCGTTATCGTGAGCCATGTATCGTATCGTGAGGGACCCTACGATTCCCACCCCTACTGTCCAGACAGCTCACGAAAACGAAAGAGATTTGAAAGTCAACCCCTGGACGCTTACTGTATTTCTCCTCCCCCTCCTCCTCTCTCTGTCTCCTTCTTCCTCTCCTCCCCTCATCACTCCTCAAACAGAAAGCTTTCTTGACAGTTTTCCAACTCTCTCAGAGGTCAGGAGAGAAGCACTGACTCAACACTGCCCACTCTGTATGCACGGCAGCTCATGGGTGCAGCTGAGAAAAGGGCTTTTTCAGGTAGGGAGGGAAGGAAAGCTGCTGCCTTGGAGCCATGGCCAAGGCACGGTTGATTTTAAGGCAAATCTCAGAGCCAGCATTGATCAAGGGTATCAAACAACTTTTGTTTCCTAGGGGAGAATGAGCGAGGCAGATAGAGAGAAGAGACAGAGAGATGGGAACACTTTGTATGGGCACATATTTTCAATATTTAATTATCAGGCCTATACACTGAAAGGACACGGTCATGCTAAGCTACGTTATTAAAAACAGCTTTAAAAGTAAAGTGTTCAAATCCTGTGTCATTTTGATGGTTAGCATTCAGAGATCGGAAAGACTTGCAGTTTAGTTACAATTTGCTTAACTTGCAGTTTGGTTTGGACTTGTTTTGATTGACTTGACTCTTGATAATATTACGAGACTGGAGACTTGAAGAAACATGCCATTACAAATATTGGACTTAACTTGGACTTGTCTCACATAAGTTAACATTCTACTGCAAGACCTCAGACTTGAGTTGTACTGTACTAGTAAGTTAATTCCTGTCTTTCAAGAAAAATCAAAATCCACAACCCATTTCAAAATCAACTTGACTTGAAACTTGCTGTTACAAAATCTAACAACTGACTTTGGCTTGTCTTAACTGACTCGCCCCAAAAGGTTCTACATAATAATGAAACAATGCTACTGAGTTAAAGCATGAAAGAATGAGCTGTGTGAGTAGTAATTACTGAGTTCTTAGTTAAATTGCTGACTAAGGGCAGACATATCTTCATAAGCTGCCATAAAAGACAAGTCTGCTACTGGTACTCCACCTTCAAGTAGACAAGAGCAGTGATTACTTTCCTCTGCAGACAAGAGATGTACGTGATATGAATGAGGCATAAGCAACAAGGTCATTGGAACTGTAGCTTTCTAGAGGACCAACTGGGGAATGTGTTATTCAGATCCACAGAAACATATTTGACCTGTCCAACATACTGTGCCTCCTACTGTGGCAGGCAGAGCAATCCCCAGGCAAACAGTGAAGCTGAGACAAGTATGTACTGTAGATCTATCTTTAAGAAAAGGGAAAAGAAAAAAGTCAATCCAAATTACAAATTCATATTCTACTTCTGAGAAGTTCATGAAAGAATATCACCTCATTTCTCATGCAGGGGCCCTAAAGAAACAGACCCACATTCCAGCTTTGGATTTGACTCATAGTTCAACAACCCCATCTTTAGATAATTGATCAAGAGCATATGAGCTCTTTTTCAAAGGCTGACCTGCTGACACTGCCTTAAAGAGCAATCGTTCATGGCTCTAGGGTATCAGTTCAAATTTATCTAAATGTCATGTATGAACCCATCAACGGATTTTACTGCGAGGGGTCTTCGGGTGACAAATGGACTATAGACACATACCATGCAATCTTGAGATAATAAAAGAGTCAAAAAATTATTGAAAAGGGTATGGATATAAATATCCAAGTTTGAGACTTTTTGGAACTTCCTCTTAGAGGTAAAGGATGGACTCATGAACAGATTGCAGCAGCCAAGATTTTGGTGTGTACATAGGGCAAAAAATACTGAAGACATTCTACACTATGTGCAAATGCAGACAAGCCACTTTGCTGATGTGGAGATACCAAAGAAGTAAAAACAGCTTGAGGCCTTGAACAAACCAAACAGAAAATGGTAAACCACTTCCGTGCCTTGTTAGGTTGGTCTCAGCCCTCAGTCCAGACTTTTGCTCTGCAAATGTAAGGGGTTTATTTGTCTGTCAGGAAAATCCTTCTGCAAATCAGGGAAATGTTAGCTTTGAATCCATCTCAAGAGAGGTGTATGACCTGATCTGGTGCCATGCAGAGTCCAATCAGTATTTAACTTTTGGTGTCTTCATACTCCACAGGAGCAGTTGAAGATTTAGCGCCTGCCTCAGTAATTTTCTTCCAAAGAATACGGTGGAGTGAACGCCTCTACCACCACTACAGACAGAAATTTTAAAACAAATCTAGAATTCCAGGGGATAAATGAAGTAGACAGAATTTAATATAGATGAGAATTCTTAAAAGTATTCATAATCAGTATACTTTGTCTGACTATAAACTGGTATACTAGGGGATAGAATGAAATGCGTGTTTTATATATTCTCTCTTCCCTCCTCCTACTCTGAGTTCATCAAACTCTGTGTGTGTGTGTGTGTGTGTGTGTGTGTGTGTGTGTGTGTGTGTGTGTGTGTGTGTGTGTGTGTGTGTGTGTGTGTGTGTGTGTGTGTGTGTGTGTGTGTGTTGTCTCAATGAGTTCCAGACCTGCAAGGCCACAAAGAAAATCCTATCCCCCCACTCGTCCCAAGCCTGGTAGGGGAGATGTGGGTGGAGTCTTTGGGTGAGGCTTTCTTACAAACTCTCATAAAGGATTACTTTCAGCAGGATCTAAATCTCAAACAATTTCAAAAGCTGGTCGAGCACACCCAAAGCCCATATTCCAAACAAACTTTGTTGCCACTGGTACTTGTAGAAAAGTAAGGTCCTGTGTGAAATGTTTTACAAATACTTTAAGTTTCACCTAAACACTCAACACTAATTATATTTAGTTGTCTAATATGGCTATGGGCTATATGAGATCAGATAGGTCAGCTGAATGTTTAAAGAGTAGATGAAAAAACATATTCTGTCTTCGTTCAGAACAGTGAGGTTATGACCAGTGAGGTTGCAGCACATTTTTCTGGCTGGTTCTTTTGTGTGCAAAATATTCTGCTTGAATTCACAGCCTATTAGTGAGCCATTGTTGTCCACATATTTAATGTACATTTTATCATAAAGCAAGGCTGTCACCAACAAATATTTTCATTTTACTTTTTTTTTTTTGATTAGTGGAAGTATCTTTTAGTCTTTGAAAATTTAAGAAAATCTTTCTTAAAGATGACACTAACAGTTTGCTTGATTTTTCCAAACAACAGGCCAAGATCAAAAAGGTATTTCAGCAGCTGGACCCAGCAAATCTTGGGTATTTTTCTTGATATTACTGAAATAAATAACAAAATAGGTCTTCCGCTATTCATATCAAACAAACCCCAGTTGTGTGTGTACAATGTAGATGAAAGGGCCTTGGGGACATGTGTTTAACTCTTACCTGGTAGGAACGGAATGATCCTGCGCTTAGGGTCTTTCTGGCCTCCTTCCACTGGGAATTTATCCAACAACTCCATCTGAAACACCACAATTATTTAAAACTTATTAGCACACAAATCATTTACTCAACACGTACACATAAACATGTACTTCACATTACACACAACAGGATGGCTGAGGATAGAGAGGAAGGGTTCACATTTTTTCAAATCAGCAGTTCCTACAAGGAATTCAGCCAATAAAGAAAGGCCTGCCAATGATTAGGAATGTCCCGAGCACATGGTATGGTTTTTCCTCTGTACTTCATATGCTGCTGCAGCTAAGGGGCTCTTAGCAGCAAGGCACCGCTGACATAGTGGAACATTTCTGTTTCCATAATTTTCAAAGGCCAGATAGCAGTGGTTCCTTATATGTGGTGATCACCATTTCGCTCTCTTTAAAACACATTGTGGCTTAAGAGCATTTGTTTCTACTTCAACACTTTGTCTTCCTCCCTCTGCTACATTTACATATACAGTATAAATCAATATTTGAGAGAGTGTGTGTGTGTGTGTGTGTGTGTGTGTGTGTGTGTGTGTGTGTGTGTGTGTGTGTGTGTGTGTGTGCGCCAATAAAATGACACCTGGCCATATTGACCAATGAACTCCAAGTGCACTCTCTAATGCGCTTTCCTAACAGTGGATCTGCACATTGTCTTCACTTATGGATCCTTGTATGGTGCTCAAGGTAAAACCACATACCTACTACCAAAAGATTTTGATATTGCTCTACAAAATTCAATACTTTAAAAATACTTTTCACACTCCAGTAAAACATTTTTAAGGTGATCCGAGTAAGTGTTTCATGGCACTACAGTATCAGCCAGAGTTTGGCTGAATGATATAAAGGGACACGCCTCTTCTTGAATCAATGGCCAGTTTATTTGATCACTGTTTTTAGTCAGCAGCATCAACCGATGTTTCAAAATAGGGTCTGCAAGTATTTTTGCAAACCCAATACACCACCAGGGGTCCACTGTTGAGTTTCTCCTCTCAATTGAATGCTGCATTAAACAAAATCACAAAATCAAAAGAAACTAAAACCTTAATTCTTTGATGCAGTGATACAATATCAAAAGTGGTCCACATTCAATAATTAAAACAGGCCATGCAAAGTCAGTAGTAGGTAAAAGGTCAGCATGCAGTTAGAGCGGGACCCAGGGATGGTGCCTACATCTTCTGTCACTCAGGGTATTGTGTGTCTGATGTGCATTCTTGTCGGGTTGCATTGTCACATTTTGAAAAAACTAGCAAAACCAAAATCTTAAAAATGTGATCTCTTAAGTTAACGCCGATTTTAAACATACAGGAGCTCACCAGCCTAATTTTATTTTCTTTGTGAGATGGAAGAATTTAGTAAGTTGCGCTGCACTGCGGAGAGCCTCCAGCTGCAGTAACACGTGGATTATGTGTAAAATCTAGAGCATCACACTTCATCCAGCCAGAGGGAACGACCACTGACCGTCCAATGCGCTGGTTCCACTGGCAAGAAAACCCATAGTAGGGTGAACGGAGGGGGGAGCGGGGGAGCATACAGGGCGAGGGAGAAGAGGTTGCATCCTGGCCGTAGCCTCGAGAAAAAAACCCTTGATAAACATATTCAGGTATTTTCTAAGATTGCTCAGGTAAACAGCTGCTTCAGATACGCCCAAAACAAAATGTTTCGTTGATGCTGGTGTAGAATTTTGAGTGTTTGAGGCTCTGTAATATAGTGCTCACTTCTACAATCATATTTGCCACAGTTGATGAGATGCGGTGAGACCTGAAAAGAAATTGCCTTACATAAAATTAAATATAACAATATTTAGCCTACTGTTGACTTTTTGTTTCACAGAACACAAACACAAGTCTCCTGATTCAAAGGTCCTGGCCCTCCTTACACCCCAACCATGTTCTAACTCAGTCTTTTCTGTTAAATATCATATTCCTGCCTTTACCGTCACAAACTGACGCTACAGGGCTTCCCCCACTGAGTTGACCTATGATGCTATAGGGATCCCCAGTACATTACAAACGCTGTTAGGCCTTGACCACGCCATATGTGACAAGTCGGGAAATGAGAACGGGTTATAGGAATACAACACCGGTCAAAGATAGAACAAAATGCAGCTCCTTTGTTTTCTGTTATGGGTTTAAAAACAGGAAAAACAAAACAGATGTCTGTTTTTTTGTTTACCATTTTTTAATTTTTCCGTTATGGTTTTAAAACAGAAAAAACTAAATCCGAAACGAAATAATGAAAGAACAAACCATACACAGATTACCATCTCTTCTTTAGAAACCACAGATCTAATTTTAGCAATGTTCCTAAGATGGAAAAAACACATAGATTTGTCAAAAATGACACCCAGATTTCTAACAACATTACAGTCAGAGGATGATAGCGCCCCAATGGCTTGCCTAGGGGTAATGATGTCTGGGGCAAAAATCACTGCCTCAGTTTTGTCTGAATTTAGTTGCAAAAAGTTGTCTTCCATCCATTTTTTAATGGAGGATAAGCAATTGTGCAACAAGGACAGTCTGTTTAGCCTATCAGGGCTAAAAGATAAATATAATTCGATGTCATCAGCATAGCAATGGTAAGATATTTCTTCAAAACTACCAATAATCTTTCCAAGAGGAAGCATATACAGACTGAACAGCAGGGGGCCGAACACAGAACCTTGGGGCATGTACTAAATAGTGCTGAAATATACTGACATTTAAATTGACTTAATTATGTCCAACCACAAAGAATCTACTTAAATGGGGAATCTGTATACTTGCATCAATGGATGCAAGGTGTGAACCAAATATACAAATTATAGGAAAACATGAATAGTATATTCTGAATGCGTTCATAATCATAATAATAAACTGATCTCATATAGTGCAAATTAAAAGAAGTAACCTACATTTTTGTACAAAACTAACGTAACTGTGCATTCAGAGTTCGGGCTAAGATGGTCACGAAGCTAACCGAAGTGTGCACTGCTACGTCTTGCAAACCCACGCCCATCTAGATGACATACCAAGTTTTTAGTGAGTGCCCAGTTATAGCTGGCCCATGTGTAGGCTACAGTGACGGGGATATCACAAAAGAGACCAATACCATTATTGAATATTTTCTGTTCAATGTCCACCTGATAAAATTATATATCTATCAAGGCTGTGATTCTCAGAGGCATTTGAGGGTCAAAACAAACTGGCTCACCAAATATTTAAACCAGGGATGTTTTTCATTCCCCCAATGTTAAATATCTCGCAGCTTGACTGGTATGAAAGACTCATATCTAAAATATGCAGCACTGGATTGTTATGTGTTGTATGGTTAAGCATTGTTCATAGTTGGGATTTCTCAGACACATTATTGCCCTGATACTGCCATCTTGAAATGCTAACTTGTTATGTTTTTTTCCAGTGCATCATGTGGTTTACTCATGAACATTCAGTTTTCCACCAATATACTTGAAGTATAATGAAGTCACAAAATATCCTCCGGTAAAAAAAAAACAAAAACAAAAAAAAAGTATTGAGCCACAAAGGCCAAAACTAACAGAGATAGAGAGACAGGAGAATATGTAATATGAGGTGAGGTGATGGAGAGGTTATGCAAAAGGCACAGAACCGTGCCAAATAGTATTTTCTATTACTTTCTATGGACTGACCCAGTCTAGTCAAGTGTAAAAGCATTGCTGCAGCCATAAAACAATAAGTGGCAAAAAGCCTCATTTCACCAACATAGATAGGGATGGATACCTTATTTATTTTTAAGAGAAGATACGGTATGTTTTACATGTGAATGAATGTCTCCAGATCTTCAGCTGTACAAGAACCTTCTGGCCTTTGTTTCCTCTGCTTCACTTTATTTCTTCTCTAACTCTTGCTCTTCTAAATAGGATTTGTTTGTGTTTGACCTTTTTGTGCAGCAGCCTGATTCCACATACAAGGAAGTTCAACAATCTCATTTTAACCTCATGTTTAAACCCTCTAATGAGCTAAAAGAAAGCCCCAAATCTTCAAGTACTCCAAGAAAATAGCTGGCTGACACTGGCTTTGAAATCTTAAATCTAATTATTTACTATTTAAGGAGGAATTCAGAAAAGGGGGAAAAAAGAAAACTAAACTCACAAAAGCAACAATCTCTGTGGCTTAAGAGTCAGCTGCATCATCCATGACACAGAACCACCTTCAGAGAGACAGCATAAGTAAAGACACCGACAGACACAGAGAGAGACAGAGAGAGAGAGACGGAGACAGAGAGAGAGTCAGAGAGAGAGAGTCAGACACAGAGAGAGAGCGAGAGCGAGACAAACATAGAAGAGCCAATACCCCACACACTGTAATTGTTCCCATGTGTCTGACTGTGAGCGCGGACACACCCGATCTCCGTGTCTACTCTAAACCTTGTATCTACTCTGTAATCAGAGCCACTCAAACAAGAAAAGGCATCTGGACAGAGTAAAGATGTCTCTTCAAAATACCAGTTACATCATGCACCCAACATCAAATATTCATGCTCTACAGGCAGGAGGGTAACAGGCCAAGGCAGAGCACAGCCAAGCGTCACATGACTTTCCAAGGTTTTTCTGAAGTATGTTATTGCGGAGTTCATTTCAGTTTGAAAATGCATGCCACATTAGTTCTACATAGATTGTATAATGACAGCTACAGATAATGATTTGTGAACATCACACACTAATCACAATATCTTAAAATGTATTTCACTGTATGAACTCATCAGTTCTGGATATGTACTGTATCTAGGGTCTTATATTAACGCTGTCAAATATTCAAAACTCTGGCTCATGCACTCATTCACTAGAACCTGATGAGGAGTCACTGTTAATATTCTTGACAATGCATAGAGCGTATCTATTTCCTGCAATAAAAAGGCAGCATTCAGCAAAGCGTTAATCTGCCAAAGACATTGAATAATAAACTTTAAAATATCTGTTAGTAAACACAGTCTCTTAATTGTGCTGTTAGGCGTCATTGTTGATTTTACCACTAAAAAACATTTTGACACATTTTAGTCGCTGACATAGTGCAGGGATGGAAGGAAGAACAACAAACCTTTCCATTGTCAACGTGTCACATTACCAGT